TATGAGAACTTATAGAAGAGCTTCTATGAATAGTTACAGTCATCCGATAATGTTATTAGAGGTTCTACATTTTAAGTGTATCACTTGTTGGGTGCTTACTTGATCATTTTCTTCTTTGTGTTAGATAAGTGTGATCCTCTCTTGATGGGTACCCGATGTCTAAAGATCAATTTTTATAGTTTAAGCTCATGGAAAGATTCTTTTGTGAATGGTATTTGGAAAAAAAATGTTTGTGCATTGTGAGTGTCTAGTGGTTGATTCAGGCTCATTTCTGGTTGTAGTCAGTATTGATTCAAAAGGTTATCTTGGTCATGTGAGAGAATATTCATCACGATAATTGTGTTAAGGTCCTATGGGTTTCGGTTTAGATTGGATTCATGGGTTAGTCTGTGGCTTGGTAATTACTCTTGAATTATAGATTCGCCAAAGTTCGATTAGAAAGTTCAGTTCTTAGTAGTTGATCTTGATGGAATGGTCTTAAGAAGGAACTCACTTGGAGAGATGAACAACCAACTGGTAGGTCATAACTTAAGCTTTTGGTAATGTCGGTTATTCTTCCTTCTTCTTTCTTATGTTCGAGGACGAACATAGTTTTTAGTGGTGGATAATGTAATAACCTGGAAAGTCATTTGTGGAAATTTTTGAATATTCATTTAACTAGAGTAAATTAATTGATGGTTAATTATTAAATAACTAATTTTAGTTAATAATTATGGGTTAAGTTTATAATTCTTTTTAATACCATATACCACTTGACCCTTGTAGAAAAATAAATTATTAGGGTTGAGAGTTTTTGGTTCATAACTTAAGAAAAGAAATGGAGACTTACATGCGTATAGCGGCGACTGGCGTGGAAACCATCCACTGCACTTCACGATTAGGTAACATTCATAAATTCATTAATTATGCAATTGAAAATGTGTATTGAGGTAAAATGTAGTTATAAGTATTATTATCATTATAATAATGTGTGAGAAAGAGTAAGAGGGGAATCAAATTGCAAACTTGATTAATTATATGTATATTTATAAGTTACAGTGGATTAGAATTGGATTTCGTGCAATCATGTGATCATTACGGCCAAATGCCATTTATGTAATCATAATATCTGTTAGTATTACTTTATATTGGCTTTGAAGAGGAAAAAGGGGATTTGGAATAAGAAAATTGGTATATATCTGTATAAAGTAATTTTGGAATTGAGAAACGATGGTGATTGGCTAATGATAGGAAAATGGTGAATACTAGGAATAATGATTCAATGGTTACAGTTGATTCAGGAGTTAGCGAACCAGTTTTGATATTTTCCAGATTTTTGTTTTTCCATAATTATCACATTATTAACTATATTTTTGACATATTGAAATAGGTAATTAAATATTAGGGGTATTGTATTTTGTGAATATCCTTAGATTTATGATATTGGAGAAGTTGGGACTTAACCCTAGGCATCAAATTTGGAGAAAATTGAAAGAGTTTGACATGTTAATTGGCATCGAGATTTAAGAACTTGATTATAGATTTGGGATGAGTTTCTGGGTCTAGGTTAGACCTATAGTAGCATGGGTGTTGTTTGTTTAGAAATCTTATTGTGGTTAATTATTTGACTAGATTGCTTTGAGTTGGAAGTTCAACGAAAAGGGAAGGCTCAAGTCCCGGAGTGATTGTTCGATTATTTGAGGCAAGCGGATTTCTAAACCCTTGTTAAGTGTATGGAATTCATGTATTTCCTTGTAATATGTGTTTAGGGTAATGAGGCTTGGTGATGGGTTGACTTGTCCACATTGATTAATTCTAATGATAAGAAAGGGATAATAAAAGGCAATGTGATCAATTGTTTGTGTGATGTGTTGAGAATTGTTTGAAAGGCTTGTTGAATCATTGTTGATGTTGTTGTGAATTGTGCAATGTTATGAAAATGATCATCTCTTCATTATTTGTGTGAACATGTCATTTGCATTGTTCTGAGACATGGTGGTGACAAGTGTTATGTGCATTGAGAAAGAATAAGAAAATAAAGAGGATGTACCATTTCGAGGGACGTGTCGCGCGCCGCGACAGATACTATATTTCGAGGGACGTATCGCACGCCGCGATGGTTACTATTATCGAGGGTCGTATCGCGCGTCGCGATGGATGCATGGACAGATATGTCCCCCATAGGTCCCAGACTGAGAGACAGCGGGTGTGTATCATTAGATCAAACATGCATCACTATACTTGATATTGCATTTCATCGCATTGCACTTCTTTATTATTGGTGAACTTGATCTTGTGCGTTGCTGATCTTGTGAGTGCCTTTCTATGGAACTTGTGACTGATGAATATTGAGCTTGTTGTTAAAGATATACAATTGTTATAGTGTTGTTGTTGAGGATATGCAACTATTGTTGTTGTTGACGATATGAAATTGTTAGAGTGTTGTGTTGAGCTATGTGCTTTGTAAATTGTGAACTGTTAGGTTGGGCTGGTGTTATACAGATTGTAGTTATGAAGGTTCGATTAGGGTGTAAGGAGTACTTGTATTCTATCCCTTTAGCTCGTGTTTAGAGGTTTACTTGCTGAGTACCGTGTGGTTTGGTACTCACCCCTTGCTTCTACAATTTTTTATAGGTTATGAGCCTGGATTTTTGTGGTACTTGTTATTCTCTTCTTTTCTGAGGCTTCTGGGAGATTTGTGAGGTAGTTGTTTATCTTCTCAGCAATCCTTCTTACTCCTGTTTATGATCTTGTTCTACTCTAGAAACAATGTCATATGAGACTTGTATTTCTCTTTTGATTCAATTGTAATACTCTAGAGGCTTGTATACGTGACAACCAGATTTTTTGGGGTATATTTGAGTTTATTATAAAATTTCCGCATTTTATTGTAATGGTTGAATGTTAGGCTGACTTGTCTTGGTGGGTTAAGACGAGTGCCATCACGTCCATTTTCGGGTCGTGACACATTTGTTATATTCTGAAAATGGAAAATATTACTAGCGAGGGTAATAGGGACCTCCCTATATTTACAAATTACATATGTAGATAATTACTCTTTGAATAAAAGTCCTATCAATCACATAAATATCTTTATTTTGGCGCGGTCTATAATTTTCTCCCTCAAATTTCTTTAATTTTTATCATTCAATATACTAGTTAAGTAAAAAAATAAGTATATCAAAAATATTTCTGACATCGTAATTATAAATAATTTTTGCTCGACATAAATTTATATTTTCATATAGTATAATATGACGCACGTAATGTGTTTTTAAATGATAGAGGCAACTCATTCAAAAATGTCACTAGTAGCCTCGTGGATATTGGATTTGAAGCCAACTACATATCTTTTAGTGGGAGTTTTTTTCATTTAATTGCACGAGTTTCATTTTAAATAAATTGATTTTCTAAGTTGTGTCCTTTATATGAGTTAACCTTTAAGTTTTTCAGTTAGCAATCGAACTTAGCCAAATAGGTCATAAATTTTTTAAGGATGCGAGACATGATTTATAGGATATTATAATGTAAAAATATAAACTTATGCTCTGCAAAAGAATAAGTATTTATCTCGAAAGATAAAAATTAAATATTAGCACAAAATAAAGGCAAAAGTGGAAAATGTCCCAAGTTTTTGTCCAAACCTCTTACTTGGGCTCACTTATGGTCCAAACATGTCTTTTTGTGGACCATTCGGCCAAGTTTGGCAGACCATGAGCCCATGGACTGGCTACATGTAGGTTAGTTAATTTAGGAGTACTATAAATAAATAGGGATAATACTCATTCTATTGTCAAGTTTTAGTTACAACTTATACTTAAATTACAATAATAACAAAATATACATCCCTGCGTGGTTTGCAGGCTAGCTATTACACGATGAGAGATTTACCCCATGTGCACAACGTGCTCATCCGAAGGGCAGAGATTGTAGCGCTTGTATACATCAGTAGGGAGGCTCTACCAAGCATCACAGTAGCACACCTCTGAATTCTTCTTGACATGTGCCAGTCATTGACTTGTTGTGATAGGTTTGGGATTAGCAAGGGAATAACTTTCAAATTAATCAGTCCAATCGAAAGCCCCTTCCTCCACCGTCCTCACGTGATCCTAAGCCAGAGTCCCCCGAAGGAGCCATCATGTTTGTGGATTGAGAATAACACTTTACTAATTATAGTAACATATATTAAGAAAAGTAAGGGATTAGGCTCTTTCCATTTTCTCAACAACACAAAAAGAGCTGGTTACGCTGAATCATGATAAGTATAATTGAACTCCTAGTAGTCTCCTATAATAAATTCAAAGAAATATTTATCAAATTGAGTAATCACAATTCACCCATAATTTAATAATGACTATAAGAAACAATTACAAAATTATAAATTATATGTCAAATCATTAAAAGTTTGGCGAAACTGTTATTTGTTTGAATTGAGTGTTATTGCAAACGATTGGTAATGTTCATTAGAGTTTATATGTCAATTTTGATGGAGTGGTGTGAATTTTAGAATTAGCTTTGATTAGAATTACATAACAAAACCCAAAAATAAAGAAGAATAATGCTTCCAATTCCCAATTTATAAATAAGTTATTTGTATTTGTATTTCGGGTGTATATTATTTATAGGTCCAGTGTTCACTGAATATAAATAGATATACACATGATATAAAATGGATCTGAAGGACTAATGGGTGTAATTTGGGCTCAATAATTTCCCTCCCAAGGGCCTAGGCTAATCTTTTGAATTTTTCCTTTCCCTTTCTTATAGACAATGGGCTGAAACCAGTTAATGGACTATCTTAGTCAAACATTATAACAACTTTTTGATTATAATTTTCCCCATAACATGTTTAAGCCAGTAAAATTAAATAACATTTTGATATATTTTATATATCTTTAGTTTAAGATCACCAGATTCAAAAGTCTTTTCTACTTTCTGAAACTCAGCGTCAAGTCAAAACAAGACAAACAAATTGTAACTTAGGGAGTAATAGGTAAAGGAGAAATCTTTTTTGCTTATATTACATCTCAAAGTTACAAAATTCAATTTTTAACTAATTCACTTGACAACTAACATGATTTCCTCTAAGCTTGCTGGAAGAATGATGCTGCACTAATGGGCTCTTGTTGGTATCAAGATAATTAAGAAGAAAAACCATCCCAATTGAAGTAACAAACATTGGAATTGGACCAAAAAACCATAACAACAAAGTGATAGCAAAATAAAGAGCTCTAAGCCCAATAGACCAAAAATCACCTCCCCTAATCACAGCCAACTCCACATAGCTTGAAGGAACTTCACTATTTGGTATACTAATTAGATAATTTGCATGGATGAAACATCTTGATGATTGAACAAAACATGAAAATGCAACCAAAAAACATAAAAGAAGACTTATGTACTTAATTGACAAAGTAGATGCCCTTGTGTCACCATATATCAATTCACTACTAAAAATAGTTGAAGTATTTGCCATCCATGCTCCAATTAGAGAGCTTAGAGTTAAACACACAGTTGCTAAGAATGTTGCTCCTGAATTATTTGCTGATAGAACATATAAGGCTGTCATAACATCCCGGTTTTGGGTCTGAAAAAAAAAAAAAAAACAAAATGTTATCCTGAATAAACAAAATTGGAAAATGTTTTCTGGTATTTGGTTGGTGAATGAAAGATATTCTTTAAAAGATAATATTAACAAATCACAATATTTTAATGAAATCTTTGAGTAACAAAGTATTTAGTTGGAGCCAGTAATATGAAATTACTTAGAAGTCAAGTGAGGAAAATCATTTGTAGTTTGAAAAACATGTTTTTTCTTTTATTAGTTTTTAGTAACAAAACATAACTGTGGTTTCATGTCCAAACACAATTTCAAATACTGGAGTATTTTTTTCTTCAAATTTCAACCAAATCATGTCCAAACGCATGGACACGCAAAAATGTTAAAATCATGATGGACTAATAGGAGATTTATTAATACTTACCTGCATAAATTTTTGAATCCAAGCAATTTTATCATTGTTCTCAAATCCAAAGACAGTAGTATGAGGATTCTTGATATATCTTTGGAGAAGAAAGAGATGGTAAACAAACAAGATGAACAATCCACTAGGCACCAAGAAAATATCAAGGTGTTCTTTGTGGAATACCATTTATTATTATTTTTTTCTCCTTTCTTATGTTCTTGTTTGAATATTTGTGAGATTGGTAGAATTTGAATGTTGTTTGTGATATATGAAATTGGCAAAAAAATGTTGTTGCTTAAAAGGAACCTATTGCTAAGGTATTGAATAGATATATCTTACAAGTAACATTCATACTTAATGATAGTAGCTTATACATTTTGAATTCTTGACTTGGTGGCTGTGATTGTAAGTAAACTTATTTACCAATTATATTACAACAAATTACCAAAATTATCTCTTGGCATTTTTTTTGTACAAATTAAACAAACAATTATTTAGGAAATTTGGCCTAAAGCAGAGTTGCCCTGTTTGTAGCTTCTTCAACTCTCTTGTAAACCTGTTTTCTTGTTCTAGAAGAACGATGATCGTGCAATTGCTTCGTGTTTTTGTCAAGGTAATGGAGGAAGATAATCATCCCAATTGAAGTAATAAACATGGGAATTGGACCAAAAAACCATAGGAGTATAGTTGTTGCAAAATCAAGTGATCTAAGCCCAAGTGACCAAAACTCACCTCCTCTTATAACAGCCAATTCAACATAACTAATTGGTATATCAGTATCTGGTGTGGTGATTAAGTAATTTGCATGAATGAAGCATCTAGATGATTGTACAAAACATGCAAAAGCCATCAAGAAGAAGATTAGTAGAGTTATGAGCTTGATTGACATTGTTTCTGGCCTTGTGTCACCATAAATTAGTACACTAGTGAAAATAGTGTTGTTAGCCATCCAGGCTCCAATGAGAGAACTCAATGATAATGAAACTGTTGCCAAGTATGTTGCATTACTGTTATTGGATTCTAAAACATTTAGAGCTGTATCTATAATTTTGGTATCTGAAGCCTGCAAGATTTAGTAAAAATGATAAGTTAGATGCAACCTATATTTTTAACGAGTTCAATTGAATTCAATATCTCAAACATGAAACATAATTATACAAGTGGAAAATTACTAAAGTTTCGACTAGGGGGGATTGACCTATCTACAAAGTGTAATTTTATGACAAAAGGAGATCAATTGACTCATTACTGGAAATAACGATTTTTCCTACTACGAATTAGTGGAAATTTTGTGCTATAGATCATGATTTTTCCACTCATTTCTCATCGAACGAGTTCACTGGAAAAATGCATGGTGGAAAACAATTCCTAATTTTTCCATATGAAAACATTATTATTTTGGTTTTTTTCCACCAATACAATAAAATATCTGTGGAAATCGCCACTGAACATTTTTCAATAGAAAACTATTGATTTTTAAGTAGTGACTCTCTTAGGAAAAAGGTGACTCCACCATTGATTTCAACAAATATTAAATTTTGAACTCATAATTTAAAAAAATAAAATAATGTTTACCACGAAAAGCTTTAAAGGCCAGAATCATCAAATTTAAATCTTAAATCTATTTCTATAAGTACATACTTTACCTGCATGATTCTTTCAACCCAAGCTCTCTTGTCATTGTTTTCAAAGCCCATGATAGTGGTATGAGGGATAGTAAGGTATCTATAGAGCAAATAAAGATGATAAGTGAACATGATGAATAGCCCACTTGGAACCAACAACAAATCAAGGTACTCTTTTTGGAAAACCATTTTTTTCTCTTCCTCCTAGAAACCAGAGTAGTCAAGAATAAGAGTTCCAAGTGGCATCTTTTATATATGTTATTTGTGCCTAATTTACTTTCATGTGTAGCAAAGAATTAACAACTTGTATGGAAATCTCAACAGAATTTTGATAAGTAACCTATAGCTAGTTGTTATGTTCTTGACTTATTGTCTCCATGTGATTATTTCTTCAAATTTATGCCTACCAATGCCATCATTCTGCTGAACATATAATGGACTTAAAATAAGTTAATAATAGAAGCATTTTTGAACCGGACGACAAAGACATTTTTAGACCAAACTAGTAACTAGGATATTTTCGTTCAGTTTCATATAGTTCAAAAACATTTTGACCCTTTTCCGTTTTCTTTATACTGTCGTGTATAGAAATCAAATTCAATTGAATATACAGGTCACTCAAAACGGGAAAATACCAATAGTAGATCAAGTGGTACACTATATAATTGTTTTTCAACTTTCGGCAGTTTGAAAATTGAATATTTAAAATAATTTCCTTGTGCAAGTTTAACTATTCCCTCCGTTCCAATTTGTTTGTCGAAAACACTTGAATATTTAGAATTACAGAGTTACCAAAATAGGAAAAGAAACATTCTTTTTTAAACAAATAAAAGAAAAAGTTAGACAAATAAAATGAAACGTTAAAGTTTTTTTTTTTTTGTACATAGACTTTTAGACTCTTCAGGGGTGGCTCTACAACTTTGAAAAAAAAGCAATTGCCTTAGGCCCCAAAATTTGAGGGGCCCCATTTAAAAAATAAATAATTATAAGTATTTTCTTAAAAAAAATATCAGGTATTATTTGTAGAAAATTAAAACTTTTCAGAAAACAATAAAGAAGTAATAGAAGTTTGACAAATTATGAATAATATGTCTTAAGAAAGATTAAATAATTGACTATAATATACTTCATAAAAAATATATATTCAAATTTAACGCTCCCATTTGAATTTGGAGACCACCGATTTATTAAAGCTGTCCCTGAGACTCTTGATCATCAAGTATGGTTGTATGAGTATCACAGGCTGTCAAGTATCAACTAGTTAAGTAGCTGTTACTTCAATTTACTGCAATGACATAGTTGAATGTTGGCACACGATAATGTATTAATGTATGAACAGGCAAATATAGTTGCATCATCAGTGCAAGTTAAGGAATTTGACTTTCTCACAAAATTGAACCCACTAGTTTAATTTACAAAGTGTGAATCAAATTCTCATCAACAAGGTGAAAGCTTAAATAGTCAATCAACTAAATTTTTAATATAAAATTTCCCCTTCAAAGATGGTTATTCAGATGAAACAGAGGTAATAGACCATTTCTAAAATTAATAAAAGTATTCCTTTTGTCTCAATTTATATAATATATTTCTTTTTACTATAAGGGGTCGTTTGGTTTGAAAACAAGTTATGATGGGATTAGTTATGATGGAATAAGTTATGATGGAATTAGTTATGATGAGATAAGTTATGCTGAGGTTGTCTTTTATTGAGTGTTTGGTTTGTTGTATTCAAAATAATATGTATTGCATAAATTTTAAGAACAAGTTGTTTGTTTACAAAATTACCCTTCACTTTATTTAGTTTTTTGTAGTTTCTTTGCAAGCTTTAATTATTCATTTTTTTAAAAAATAAAACTTGCATCTTATTTAGTTTAAATATTTTTGTGTGTGCATTTCCACTATGGTACCGTATGTATTGAAAAATATTTTTTTTCTTATTTAGCTTAAAAATAGAATTTTCATCTTAAGTTTGTTAAAGTAAAAGAGGATTTGTGAGAAATAAAAAAATATAAATAAACATAAGAATTAGTTAACTATACTCATAAATAAAAACTATATTTTTATGGTGTAATTTTTAATAGAAACATATGAAAAATTATCATAAAAATAAGAAGTAGTGAATATTATTATACATGATATTAAAAGTAATATTGGAGAAGGAGGGGGGGGGGGGGGGGGGGGATCAGGAGGACATGTGCTAATATTTTTGTTTATGCATTCTCATGGTAAGTACCATATGTATTTAAAAATAAAACTTTTTTCTTATTTAGCTTAAAAATAGAATTTCCCACTTTAAGTTTTATTAAAGTGAAAGAAGATTTATGGAAAATCAAAATATAAATAAACATAAGAATTAGTCAAATAAATTCATAAATAAAAATTATATTTATATAGTGTAATTTTTAATAGAAAAATATAAATAATTATCATAAAAATAAGAAGTAATGAATATTAGTATACATAATATTAAAAATAATGTAAATATACATAAATGTGAAAAATGATATATACAAAGGGTTTAAAGGGATATAGTTGTCATTTTCCTATTCTATCCCGGGATAAATTATCTCGGGATTACTATACCACCAAATGGGAGGGATAATTTATCCCGATACTAATTACTAATCCCGAGATAAGTTATCCCGGGCTTTCCAATCAAACAAGGAAAATAAAGGGTATTTAAAATTTATCCCAGGATTAACCCTCCCTATCCCTCACACCAAACGACCCCTAAGGATTTATGAACTTCTAATCACATTATAATAACATTATCAATTATGCTAAGATTGTCTTCTGTCAGCAGGGGCGGATCTACATTGCCCTTTCTGGGTGCTCCAACACTCATTAATCTCGTATCGAACTAATTATATTTATATAGAAATTTGAAGTAATGAGATAAAATTAAAGAATGAGCACCCATGTAATAAGTTGTAAGAATCCGGAGCCTAAAGGGCAAAAAAATTTGACAAAAATTCCAAAAGGGCACATCAAATTTTTTTCTAACCAAAAAGGCAAAATCGCTACTGACGCAGCGATTTTGCTTTGACGCCGTTAACAGATCAAAATCGCTGCCCGTGCAGCGTTTTTGCGAAAATATATATATATTTTTAAAGAAATCATGGCAGCGATTTTCGTTATTTTTTTTTTTTTTCAAAATCGCTGTTGTTGCAGTGCTATTGTTTTTTCTTTTTTTTTTAAATCCCTGCCTTGACAGTTTTTTGGTGGAAATTTTTTTTTCTGAAATTTCTACCAACTAGTCAACATCAAAATGACTAAATTTTATTTTTTTAGAAAACGCTGCCAAGGCAGCGTTTTTGGTGGAAAATTTTTTATTTTAAAAAAAAAAATTAAAAAAATCTCTGCCAATTGGTGGAAATCTTTTCTTAATAAGCTGCCAATTTAACAAAAAATATTAATAAAAAAAATTGGCAGCGATATTTATGAAAAAAATATTAAGAAAAGATTTCCACCAATTGATAGAGATTTTTTTTTTTTTTTAATAAAAAAGTTTCCACCAAAAACGCTGACAAGGCAGTGATTTTGTTTTTTTTAAAAAAGAATTTTCACCAAAATCGCTGCCAAGACAGTGTTTTCTAAAAAAATAATTTTTTTAGTCATTTTGATGTTGACTAGTTGGCAGAAATTTCAAAAAAAAAAAAAAATTCCACCAAAAAAGCTGCCAAGACAGGGATTTTTTTTAAAAAAAAGAATAACACTGCAATAACATCGATTTTGAAAATAAAAAAGAAAAATAACGAAAATGGCTGCCATGGCAACGATTTCAATAATTTATTTTTTTTTGCAAAAACGCTGCACGGGCAGCGATTTTCGAAAAAAAATAAAATTGGATAAAATCACTGCCCTAGCAGCGATTTTGATCTGTTAACGGCGTCAAAGCTAAATCGCTGCGTCAGTAGCGATTTTGCCCTTTTGGTTGGAAAAAAATTTGATATGCCATTTTGGAATTTTTGTCAATTTTTTTGCCCTTTAGACTCCGAACTCTGTAATAAGTAGAGAATTGGCTCAGTTGCCATAAGTGGGTGCTTAAGGTCCATGCACATTGGGATTTTGTCGCGGGTTCGATCTCCTTTGGAGGCATTTCTTAAAATTTTAAAGACAAGTTCTTCTTCTCTTCTAAACAACTTCACATAAATAATTGAAATTGGTGAGTAATACAAAAAAGATCTAGAAGGTTGAATTCATCCAAGAGATTTCTGCTCATATATATGATCTTATAATTCCGGTGACTTTCAAAACTAGGCTATGGTTGATGAAGGATTTAGAGTATGTTTTGATTGATTTATTTCGACAATGATTGGATAAATAAAAATATATGTATATAATATATATTTTAAACAAAGACAAAAATAAGTTATAATTTATTCAGACGTGTTTTTAGTATAAAGGGGTCGGACAATACAAATACAAAAGGGAAAAACTATTTAATTACATAAACATTTTTATCATATTTATTAGTTTTTCTTATTTGAAATAATTATATATTATCTCATAGATTTATAATCTCATATCATATTTCAAGTCAATACACCTAAGACACATAATTTTTTTGCTATTATATACTCTTTAAAATATATATACACAGAGAGATGGGTGAGCCTAGGGAAAGAGAGAGGCGAGTAAAATAGGAGAGAGGTTAGCGGGATTAGAGGGACGCGAACAAGAGAATTTTTGTGTATATACCAATTACATTCTGTAAACATATATAGGTAGAGAGAGGTGAAACAGAGTTAGTGTATCCATTTTGATTAGATAAATGTGACTTAGAGATCGATTTTTTTTTTTTTGACAGGAATGATAATTCTGGAATTGGCATAGCATAAAGTATTGGAATATGTGTTTGATTGGCCAAGGCGGCAGGAACCGGCGCTCCATAGGGGCGAAAGCTCAGATTTGTTTTCAGCGTGACTGGACGCACGCCGCGTCCGTCAATCAGAAAGTATAGATACGGTCAGTTAGAGGGAGAAAAATTCCACTTCTTCAGCATTTAAAGAGCTTATGAAGGCAAAAACAAACTGCTTACTTACTTTATCCAAGGTAATAATTCCAGCAGAGTTTGAGTTAATTTGGGTCAATTAACACTAGTTTAACTTATGAATAGTTACATTACCGGAAATGTCAACAAGAACCCTTTAAGTTAAAGGGTAGGGTTTGAGGAATTGCTTCCAAAAGTAAATCCACTATCTTGAACTGACAAATTGGTATTATTGGGATAGTATGAAATCATAAAGCTCAATATTTTTTGTAGTAGTTTACTTGTGGAATTGAAAGAAGCCATGAATGGAAATAGGAAATTAGGAATTAGTCAAAATTTGATGGAATAATTCTAGTGGATAACTTCAGACTTAAATGGATTGAAACGCAACCCTAGCATGAAAAATTGAGATTTTCAAGAAATGGAGATTCATTCGATTAAAATGAATTGAACTATCTTGTGTTGATGTGTTCAGGCCTGATGGTTGTAGATTTCGGGATTTGACGGATATCTGGGAAGTTAAAAACTCAAGTTTCAGTTGAAAGTTGAGGTACGTTAAGGCTACCTTCCTAAATGGATTATTGACAAAAGCATGTCTACCAAGTGTTTGAAAGAAGTTTTGAGGTTAAGTTCTTAGGGGACAAGCAGAGTGCTTAACCCTCCGTATTCTATCCTAGCACAGTTTTCAGATAAATAATTGCATTATGTTGAAGTACTTCTGTGTGAATAAAATTACTTGATTGTCTTAATGTGTGCATTTTGTGTAATTCCTGCATCCAGTTTTAGTACATTAATCTGATCACATTCAGCTGGGCGAAGTTACCACTTCCCCGAGCATGAGTGCCAAAGCGGCCAGTTGTTAGCTACCCATGCTTGCTCGTAAGCTAAGTCGGCCCTCCCCATATGTAGCACCAGTCACACACATGCAAGTTCATGATTTGTAACTTATCATAATAGAATATTTCCTGATAAAATAAGGTTTCAAGAATAACTGTCAGTTCGGTTTCAGTCCAGTTATCAGTTTCTGTTACAATTCAATATAAGTATCAGTTATAGTTTCAGATTGTGAAATGTTACATATATGTTTTACTGCATTTCATATTTACCTCACTAAATCCTGCAGCACCATTTAGGATAGTTAATGAGAGCCTACTCTTCCTTTCTGGATGAAGATACCAGTAATGCTGAAGTCGGTACCACCAGTTGGACTCAGCATCCATATTTAACATTCTTCTGCTATTTGTTCGGTGGGGATGTCATATTCAATTGTTTCAGTATTCCAATATATGCTACGAAGGCTCTATGTACTTGGGGATTTGATCTTTCTTTAGAGGCTCATGACTTAGTAATTGACAACCATTACAACGCCAACCACCTCTACCATCAGAACTATCAACACCATCATTACTATCCACTAACGCCAATCAGTACCACCATCACCATCACCATCACCATCACTAAAACCCATCTCTACTATCATTAGTGAACATAAATATTACATTCTTTTATCAAATAATGATTTTATTTTATTCAATTAATATTTTTTTAATATTTAATTAATTTTTTATTTGAATTGTATATTTATTTTGTTTACAAATAAATAGATTATGCACATTTAGATGTTGAAAAACAAACAATCTTAATCATTTGGTATTCAGATCTAGGGACAGTATCTTAATCGTTCAGATTCAGACGTCTTAATCTTAATGAAAACAAATGAAGTTTAAGAGACATAGAGCAGAAAATTTTAAGGGAAAACTTGAATGAGGGACCTTAGGCCAAGGACAGGTGTAATCTTGTAGCTCATGAAACCACCCTCAAGGAATAGCTTTTCCAATTCTTTCTCAGTTCTCTGCCTTCCAGTAGCTACAACCATCACTAGTACATCAAATATGAGCTTCACTTCAGTCATGTCTGCTTCTTCTTCATCTCTATCCAATACCATGTCAATGATTAGGACCTTCCCTTTTCTTCCTTCATATTTATCTTTGATAGCTTCTCTGCATCTCTTTAGCATCGTCACACAATCCTCATCACTCCAATTATGCATAACATGCTGCAAAAATTATGTCATGTTTTCTCAGTTTCTTAACTGTTTTGTTGGACATTGACATGGACAGGATAACAGACACTGTAAACATCACAAACTCGTGACAATCTTCATCACTCCAATTATGCATAACAGTCTGCAAAATGTCATATTTTCTCAAGCATATGACAGTCTTAACTGTTTTGTTAGACATTGGCATGAGCAAAAAAGCAGACAAGAGGAAATCTGAAGAATAGGGATTTAAATTGCCTATTTCTCTCTTCTAGCAAGAAAAAAAATAAAGATATGATACTTGAGCCTAACTCAACCCCAATAGCAAGCTCATGATACCGATGGCCTATAGCCTTTAATACAGAAACCGTATAGTAACTGAAAGATGACACCTCCCACATATTTCAAATTTTCTGTCTGTGGCATTTTAGCAATAACATGAAGAAGGTCTAACATGGTGCATTTTAGGTGAGGAAATGCAGCCAAATTTCTTTTCTGTAATTCCAGCCCCCCTCCAATATCAAGCAAAATAAAACTAGAACATGTTAAGGATGAAACTTTTGTGCATACCTTAAGTAAAATTGCATCAGCATGGGGAATAGTCTGAAACATATTCCCTCCTACATAGATTAAATTCTCACTCTGTGGCATATTGGCAACAACATGTGGAAGATCAAGGACAGTGCATTTCAAGTGAGGTACTGCCTCCAAGATGGTCTTAGGTACAATGCCAGTGCCACCGCCAATATCAACCAATGAGTTCAGTCCCTCAAAAACTTCCCTGCAGTCCTTAACAACTAATCTCATCATTTGGGAATCACTAGCCATTCCTTCATTAAAAACTCTGTCAAATATTGGATTTTGTGCACAAAAGTCCCACATAGGCACCCCATGTGCTGTCTCAAATGGCGTCGCTTCTTCATTCTTGTGAAACCATTCTCCCAATAATTGCCAAGGAGTGACAAGGACAGGATCAACCATTACTCGAACACAAGGTGACAAATTTGGTATTTCACTCTTAAGAAGCAGCCTTGAAGAAGTTGTCAAAACATATCCTTCTGTTTCTGAGTTTTCTTCGAGCTTTGTTATATCAAAGAATTGAGAGTGCATCAACAGACGCATTAGTCGATGAATGCCATTTAATTTTGATGAGGGAAGTTTGAGTGCTGAAAGTAGATCAGGAAGAGTGATTGGTTTTTTGTGGTTATGAATAATATCTGGTATGCCTAACTGAATGGCACAATTCAGGGCCATGGAATTTGCATAAGCAAATGCATGTTTGTAAATATGAGCCTGTGCTTTGAAGAGTTCACTGGCTCTTTCAACATTATTATGTGTTTCCATTAGCTCAGAAAGTTTTCAACCATGTTGCTGAAACTAGCTTGTGATGAGCTATATTTTATGGATAGAACAAAGCTTGTTATGAGCTATCTTCATGTATGTAATTAGGTTTGTGATGGCATGCTCAGAATTGTAACAGCTCCCTTTTTTCTTGTTATTCCAAAAATTGAAATGTGTGCCATACCAATAATAGCTCTATCCTTACAAGAGCATACTCTCATGTTTATTTTATCCTATGACTTCTCTTGTCTTTTAGCATTGAAACTGAACCACTCTTTTGCTTAGTTTTTGGGAAAAGGTCCAATTAAGTATTGATGTTGTGGACATTCAGTTTTAGGGAAAAGGTCCAAGCAGGCCTCACATTGGTATTAACTGCTAAAATTAGTTTATTGTGTACATGACTTGTGGCTATAGTTTGCAGGAGGAAGTATAAAGAAGCATATGTTTAAAAAGGTTCGATGAGCTAGTCGCACGCTCCATAATTTCATATGATTGTTTCCTTAACAATACATGTAGTTCATCACAACAATAACAACACTAAGTGGGGTTTGGGGAGGGTAGAGTGTACGCAGACCTTACCACTATCTCAAGGAGGTAGAGAGGTTGTTTCTGAAAAACCTTCGGCTCAAGTGCATCAAACCCAAGTAAAAGAACAAGAAACAATGAAGAAAGCATAGTCATTAATAAGAAAAGCAATGTAAAGTCTACAAGAAAGAAAGAAACAATAACAACAACAAAATAGTGTGATAATGGAAACACAATATACAACATAAGGCAAGAACTACAAGGGTACGACAATACATGTAGTTCATCAATTTATTTTAATCCTTGCATAATATTTTAAGGAAAAACTTCAATGAGGGACCTTAGGCCAAAGAGAGGTGTAATCTTGTAGCTCATGAAGCCAGCCTCAAGGAATAGATTTTCCCATTCTTTCTCAGTTCTCTCCCTTCCAGTGACTAAAACCATCATTAGTACATCAAAAATGAGCTTCACTTCAGTCATGTTTGCTGCTTCTTCATCTCTATCCAATACCATGTCAATGATAAGGACCTTCCCTTTTCTTCCTTCATTTTTATCCTTGATAGCTTCTCTACATCTCTTTAGGATCTTCACACAATTTTCATCACTCCAATTATGCATCACATGCTGCAAAAATTAACTCACATTTTCTTAACCATAGGACGAAGTTTTTAAACTGTTTTGTTAGTCATTGGCATGAGCAACAAAACAGACAAGAGGAGATCAGAAGAACGGGGATTCGAATAGCCTGTTTTCCCCCTTCTAGCAAGATAAAAACGTAACTGAAATTAAACAAGACATTGTAAACATCACGAACTGATGAATGATGACCTATAGCCTTTAATACATAATCTATATAGTCTTCCAAAAAGAGTGTCTTGATTCGGAATATGAGGATCAAAGTAACTAATGTTTGGTGTGAATTCGGACGTATAATGTTTTCATTTTTTAAAATAAAATTTATATATTAAGAAACTACATAAAAATTAACAATTCTAAATATTTAAAAATTATTTGGAAAAAAAATTAAGATCAAGGAAAATATCTTTGATTGTCTAAATAGTAACTAAGGCAATCTTTTTGGGATGGAGGGAATAATTGAAATACTACATAAGTCAATACGAACTCTTGAGATGTGAGGTAAAGTTATTTACTTAATTATATCTTCAACACGCCCCTTATGTATTTTTTTTTTTATGAAGGGTGCAGTGCGCTCAAACCTATGATCTTTGTTTTGTTTACTTCGCTATATGTTCAACATGAATGTTCAGCAAGTTGCAAAGGAATTTCTGAAGGCATAATACATAAACAAACACCCAAATTTGGTCTTAGCTAGTAAATAAGCACTCCAACTTTGAGAGTGCAAATCTAGACTCCTCAACTTGATCTCAAGTGGCAACTGAACACTCCAACTCGGCCTCACTGTGTCTGGTGCACACCTGACGCTGACGTGACAGAAAATTTGGAGGTGTCTAGATAATCATTTTGTAAATTGAAATGTTTAACTGATACAATGGAGACGAGTTGAGGTGTCTAGATGTGCATATTCAAAGTTGGAGTGTTTACTTATTAGTTGAGGCCAAGAGGGAGGGAATTACAAGACCTTTCATCCCTCAAGTTAATCAGATAGAGGAAATTCTAGAGTGCATCAATCACAGCATATCAAATTTCCAATTAGAGATGTACCACCAGCAGTTTATAAACAAAAGCTAGAATCGTGTTACCTTAAACAAAATGGCATCAGCAGAGGGAATTGAGTGAAACATGTCACCTCCTACATATTTCAAATTTTCTGAGTCTTGCATGTTAGCGACAACATGAGGTAGGTCCAACACAGTGCATTTTAGATGAGGAAATGCAGCTAAAATAGTGTTAGCTATAATTCCAGTGCCACCTCCAACATCAACCAAGGAATCCATATCTTGAAAAACTTGTTTGCAGTCCTTTACAACCAAACACATCATTTGGGAATCACTAGCCATTGCTTCATTGAAAACATTGTTGAATCTTGGATTTTGGTCACAGAATTGCCACATGGGTGCACCATGTGCCGTCTCAAATGGGGTGGTTTCGTTTCCTAGAAACCAATCCCCCAAAGATTGCCATGGATTCACCATAACAGGATCAACCATAGCTCTAGCAAAAGGTGACAAGTTTGGGATCTCACTCTTCAAAAGCAGCTTAGAAGAAGGTGTAAGAACATACCCTTGTTGGCTTTCTGAGTTTTCATCAAGAAATTCTGTAGTAGCAAAGAATCCAGAGTATACCAATAGGCGCATCAATCGATGAATTGCATCTGATTTTGCAGGAGGTAGTTTCAGCTCAGAAACAAGTTGAGACAGAGTCATTGGCTGCTTATGACTATGAATAACATCTGGTATGCCTAATTGAATTGCACAACCAAGAACCATGGAATTTGCAAAACTGAAGGCATGCTTGTAGATATGAGCCTGACCTTGAAACATTTCACTAGACATTGGAACATCCATTTTCCTGCTCTTTTTCTTCTTAAACAAATATAAACTTTTAATGGACAATGATGCAGCCTGCAGGGCCGGCTAGAGAGTAAAACTCATAGGTCAACTGCGTTGATTTTGAGTACTAGTAATAGACTTATATGTTGACGGTTCCAGGATATTTAATAAAAATACAGTGTCTAAAATTTAAACTTACTAATTTATAGCTGAAGAATAATATTGAATCAAGATATTGGGTATTCTTTTGTTTTTTTTCTCAAGTTTCAAGTACTACAATTTACAACTATATTGAAGCTATCAAAGGTTATGTATTGATATCAAGTTGTCAACTTGTCAAATTTAAAATATGGTATGAAAGTAGATCGGGAAGAGTGATTGATTATTTATGTATAATATATGGTATGCCTAGTTGTGTGTGACAATAAAATTAAAATTTGCGTCATTCTAATATCAGCTATATCCTTTATCTTTGTCGTTAACGAAATTGTAACATGAAATGATTCATATTTCAAGGATAAAAATGTGATTTTTTTCAAACGGCAAAGCAAATTTAGACTAAAAGTCTTGTAGAGCACAAAATTGCTCCTAAGCCCTGAGGCATAGGTGTCATGCATCTTTAAATTTTTAATTTATAATATAATAAAATCATATATTATTATAAGTGGAGACCTTCTAACTTCAAAATTAGATTACCATTTTGCCCTTCTCTAAAAAAATCTCTTCATTTGAATTTATTTTTACAAAAAGAAGAGGAGACAAAAAAGACCAAAAGTCATTACTTTTATTTAATAAAGAACCGTTTCTTTTTCTGGGAATTCAATGACCACATTGACATATTAACTATTTCCTCCTAAGAATAACCCCCTATAAAATTTTCAGAATTGAGAGATTTCTTTATCTTCCACATTCAACTCTTGTATTTTCTTATTTTTGAGATTGAAAGATCTTTTTTCTTATCACGTGTATTTTTATTTTTTTTTATATTTTCAAAGGGCAACAAACATTCATATTTTATCAACAAAATCAATTACGAGACGATGCTGAAGAAAGATATCAGCTTAATCCTCTGGGCAACATGAAAACAAAATTTTAATTTAGGGAAGGTTGTTAGGGTTTTGCCCTGATTTTCTTACCTTATTTGAAGTTCGTTTTTTCCTTAAAGAAAAGTCAAAGTATTACCATAAATGCTTGAACCTTTTCTAAAAGGAAAATATAATTTTCTTCCAGATTTGGTTTATTCTTTTCTTAGAGGAAATGTTTGGAGATCTATAAATTGAAGATCCCCATTCTCATAACATAACACAATAGTATCCACAATGTAGACATTTAAAGAGTTTAGTTTATGGAGAGATTTATTCTCTCAACAGTTATAATATTTTTCTTTTAAATTAATTTTCATATTAATAATATTATGTTTTAGTATCGCTTTATTTGTCATCTAATTTATCACCGTTTTGATTGCAATTGTAAGCTTCCGTATGACGCCTAATCACCTTCAGAACCCAACAAAGGTCAGCTCTAAAATGGCAAATTTCATAAAGTCGGTTGTATCTTTCTAAACGTGGATTGATCCATTATCTCTTTCTTTTTTTAGTGTTCTTCATGAATATCTATCTGTGTGATTATATATTGTTGTTTTATACAAGGTTTTTGGGATAATAGAATGCCAATTTAACTTCGCAACACCAATTAATTACATATGTTTTGCTTTATGCAGATTTTATACGATTGAAACAGCAAAAATATATAATTTCTTTCTTTTCGGTTCACATCTTAGGTAATTGTTCTATTCAATATTTTAGCACTTCTTATGGACTGTTAAACTAATTTTTTCCTGTTCGCTTTTTATTTTTCTCATTTTTTATTTATCAATTGTTTGTGCATTGCAAAAGTCTATTTTCTCATTTTTTTTATTTATCAATTGTTTTTAACATTTCAAAATCTCGAATATTAATATCTAAATTTTCATTTTTACATATATTATATTATTATTTTGAAAGTGGA